GAACTCAACCCAAAATTTTGTGGAGCCAGAATCATAGGACTACCGTTTGAGGCTCTAGACTATTTGCCGTTATGACAGTTGGCTCATGAAAAACAGAAGCAATTGGCATAAAATATGGGAAGACGAAGCATTGCCAAAATGTCAGGCATTTTCCTTGCACCAAGTTCCCAGCAGCAACATGAAATAAAGGTATCGTACCATTTGGCCAATATGTCAACTGGCATTTCATATCCATATTTAAAACGAAACTCAGCAGCTTCATTCCTGGCCTGTTGGACCAAGGTCCTTGCATCAGCTGGAAAAGTGACAAAGGAAAAAGAAAAAGAAATAAATAAATAAAATAATCAGAACTTAACCATTAACTCAAGCAAGTCATGAAGGAGCATCTCAACCAAGACACAAGTCTAAAATGGATTTCTTGTACCAAAATTGCATTCAAGCTAAAGAGAACTTTCCACGAAAGCTATATGTGTTTCTAGGATTCATTCCAATGAAACTACACTTTCACGTCTACATTTTTCTTAATACATTCATGTATAGACATACTGGTAAAAAAATTGAGTAGCATACAATCTATATGGTTCTTTCTTTAGTAATTAGTAATAATAATATAACATATAGTAGCACCCACTAGTTAATAATCAATGCCCTATTCGATTTTTATTGAATTCAAAGTCTTCCTGCAATCGCTAAAACCAACTCCTCGTGCCAAAACAAAAGGCAAACAGTTAATTCATCAAGATCCCATTACCTTGACAAAAAGAAATATTACAAATAACTCTCACTTATTTGAGATTAAAAATCATAACCCGGGGCATACAAACAACTCTATACGAAAAAAGAAAATTAGGGTAAAAGTACCTGTCATTCCGGTGGCCAGTAGCCCAAGATACTTAGTAATGGGAAACAAATGTGTCACACTTGTCTGATCCAAAAGCTTGTCCTGCTCCGACATTTACACAAATCATAAATATAATTTCAGACCAGCTATTTAATCTAATCTTCTCACCGCCTCCATTTAATTTAAGCCCATCATTTTTATGCAGCAAAGTGGTCGATTGCATCAGGTTTTTTGAACTAAAAATGGTATTTATCTTGCAAACCCCAGATCAATCTAAAAAAATCAATACTTAAAAAAATTAAATATATAAAATATTGGTCAACTGTACCGACCGGGACTTTCTTC